GCCCCGAGAGGGCCCCGCCAGGTGGCGGCAGTGGTGGCGGCAGGGCTCGGCTACAGGGGCTGCTGGGCCGCGCGGTTGTTTTAGCTGGCGCTGAGCCGTTACTCCCAGCGCGCCCGATCGGTGCCTCGGCGTGCCACGGCGCGTCCTGCGCGGCGGCCCCAACCGGCCGCGATCGATGATTGGGGGCTCGGGCTGTGCCCGCGCATGCGCCGGGAGGAGTGACACAACGAGCCACCCGCGCCTGCGCCCTGGGGCTGCCAGTGGGTGGCCGCTGCCGCGGTTCTCTTCCGTTAGTGAGGCTACGTTGCTGCTACAGCTCAGCAGCAGCTTGTTCTTGCTGTGCCGGAAAGCTGATAAGCCACTGGCGGGAGCGATCTCTACACACTAGCTGCTTGCTGCCGTGCGGAGAGCTCTGCTTGGGCAACTTTTCTCTTTTCCCTCCTCTTCAGTGTAATGCCGGTTCAGATGCTATTCTAAAACCAGAAACGTCGAGGAGATCGTGTTGCTCTCTGGGCGTTAAACTCTGAGAGGTTCATGGGAACAGGTGGTAGGGGAAGGGCTGAAGGAGGACACTGTCCCCAGGAGCATACCGTTTTATAAAGGAGCATGGGGGTTTTTTAAGGCAAACTACTAGATTTCTGGTTTAACACCTGCAGTTGAATAATTCACCAAAACTGCAAAGTGTCACAAACTTCGTGTTGTTATAAACGACTGAAATCCAGTTTTATAGAAAGCATACAATTTTATTTGGGTTCAATCAATTTAGGCTAACAAGCAATAAGCAAAGCAGCACTGGGTGCACAGAGACCCTCCCTTGGCTCTGCCACAATGCACACTGAGTTCTAAAAGCAGCGTCTTTTATACTCTTGCACCAGCATCTTGACCAATCCACTGTCGCCAGATAGTCGTCCCACTCTTCTTCCATTGGGTCATTTGAGTTGCTGGGGTACGTGTCCTCCTCCTACTGGGTCTTTTGAAAGTCTCGAGGTCTTTGCCTCCTGGCATGCTTTTCTATTGGATCTTTTGCAAGTCTCATGGTCTCATCTTTCTGTGGGCTTTTCTAAGGAACGGTTATATCAGCTCTAGGCATGGTTTCTAAGAAGGGGTTACATTGTTGCAAGCGAGAAGCACACTCGGCTATATTTTATTCTTACATATTCTCAATTTGATTCAAAAATTCATCACCATTATGATATAGGTTATAGTGATTACTAATTTTTTCAGATCCACACAGGGTACAACAATGATACTTATCACACAATATTCTACTTTGACACGAATCATGCCTATGTTCTCCACAGTGTTACTGGCTTTAGATCCCCTTTATTACTTGAAAAAAGGTTCCTCCCCATATGTTAGATCTCCTTAAAGAGTATACCTGACTTCATCTGGAAATACACACTCTGTAGAAGTATAATGCCAATGGGGGGAAATGAAGAAGGACCAATACAATTTTTCACTTTTTAAAATAAATTCTGTTAAATTACAGAGAACAGTAAATTCAGAGGTAATTTGAACAATGCTTACTCTCAGATTATCTTGTTTTTCCTTCTAACAGTACAATTTATTTACCTCACATTTCTCTGCACAGGAAATAAATAGTATGATAAATAGGAAGTACAGGAAAGTTGGGATGCTTTCTAGGAATAAAGTACTAAAATAACGGTAGGTAAAGTGAACTTGAAAGATCTAGCTTGCACAGCTGTCACCAAGTACAACTGCTTATTATGGCTATGTGTACATTACTTAATTCTACATTTATAGCAACAGCTCTATTCATGTCCTTTCAGCAGCTACAGAGCCAGTCAGAAAAAGGAGACTGAAACTTAAAAAAACTGTCCTGGGCTATGGATGAAATCTTCATGCCATCTGAACATGGTCATTCAGCCCAGGTAAATGTGGTTGCTAAATTCACTTCACTTTAGAGTTTACTGTCAAATATATCTAAAGCTCATCATCTGGTTTCACATCAATAAATTTCTCGGTGGAAATGAGAGGCTTGTATTGACAAAGGTGAGAAAAGGAAAGGCAAAGAAACTACTGAAATGGAAGAATACCACTTGTTAAACAATCAAAGAGCTGATGATGCTCATGACAATTGGCTTGGTGTTACATACTGGGCCCTCAACTGTGAGCATTACAAGTGATGTCCTGAGAAGCTTGCTGTGCTACCTAGTTTGAGCTTATGCAGTCATCATCAAATGGGGCCACATCTTGGACAAATCCAGAACAGTAGGTTTCTATGACAGAGGAGGATGAGGTGGCAAAGGCAAGGACAAAGAGGATAGAAAGGAGAACATGTGAGGAGGGATCAAGAGCACCGTGCCTGTCAGAAACTGTGTTTTCCTCTCTCTTGGAGAGTGTTGAATCCAAAGGGAGTGATGCTGCTGCCTTAACATCATGACCCTTTTCCACTGACCATGGATGTCCTGCTCTGTTTTGTCCTTCAGTTTTCTCCCTGTCCTGTCCACCTCCTGTGTTCCCACTGGCTCCAGGGCAGCTTAGTCTGTGCTCTTCAGAAAGAAGGGAGGAGGCTTCCCTAGCATGAGAAATGTTCATGGCTACTGTTACGATGTTTCCACCAGAAGCACCATTTCAGTAGCTTGCACAAGCTAAATAATTGTGTAAAGTAAGACAGTTCAGTTTCTCAGGAGCTGGTGGTAGTACTCATCAGGTAACCAGCAACATTAGTTATAAGTGAACATTTCTGGGGTATTCTGCTAAATTTTTCTTTGATTTTTATGAGTCATGCCACAGTGTAAGACACATTTTCCACACAGCAGCAAGTATTAAACAGGAAAAGCTCCTAAGAAATAGTAATGATGAAAAGCTAAAACAGTGTTCAAGTTTGTCTGTGAAAATTTCAAATGACCCAAAACCACCATCATTTTTCCCTCAGACATCACACTTTCTAAAAGGGCTATTATTACATGAGTAGTATTTTTCTCCACCATTTAGATTTTGTCTCAGTCTGCAGTCAGGAGACTTCCAGTGGCCACATATGGTCCTCAGGCTGGGAAAGGGACTGTGTCAAAATAGAACAGGAAACCTGTGTGCTTACGAGCTTGAAGAAATGGTTCTATACAGAAGAATTTTGACTTTCAGCATAGTTCACCCTTTTCAGAAATGGTGATTTTTAAAAAAGTCTAATTCATTAAAATGATATACAGTATGGTGACAAAAGAGATATCTTTGTCAGTAGCGCTGAATAGCTGTTGAAGACAATATGGTTTATCAACTCAAAGTACTTTATTCAGGGTTTTTCTCCCCTTTCCATGGTTAGTGTAAAACACAAGCAACAGGACCTCTTCCACCAAAGAAGTAAAACCCTGTTAATAGCCACAGTGGTTTCTCTTGAGAAATACGAAACAATATAGCTGTAGTCCTGTTGACCTTCAGTCAGCTTCCCATGGCAGAAGAGAACTATAAAAAGTAAAAGATCTCTGGTTCAGTTACGAACCTCAATGAATTTTTTATTTTTTTTTTTCTACTGAAAGCGGACTGTAGTAATAAAGCCACTGTGAGCCAGTGGACCTCTTCCATTATTTTTCTGTATTTGCCACTACAAAGGTATATTTTATAATACATATAAATAAATATATATGTCTATATATTAACCCTTATGATACTAACATTTTGAATTACTTAGGTCACAGTGAAAGATGTGAGAGATGGTGGAATGAGAAGGCGAAGGGTATGAGGGCTGGAGATATGTGAATGTCTGAAGTAGCATTTTAAGTGTGCCAGTGGGGGAGGAGGCTCAAATCAAAGACTGTGGATAGAATGTCTGAACTTACTCCAGCTTGATGGGGGTCAACTTTACTCCTAAAATGTATTTTAAACCCCTTAATGCTAGTACTCTATAGATAATACATGTAGTGAAGGTCAGCTTTACACCATCTCAAGTTGGCTGTCTACAGATGACCCTTACACAGTGTCTGAGGTTTGATCACATGGCTCTTAACTTCTCTGTTTCTGATTAAAATCCTGGTCATATGGAGCAAAAGACCTTGCAGTGGGTTTTCTGGTGTTTGCTGTATTGCTTCAGAGCTTTTCAGCTGCCACTGTGTTTTCTTGAATTTATGTATTTCTTTACATTATTGAATTGCTGAGAGTTCTGTGCAGAGCAAAAGTCTTTCAAGTGGCACATCAAAGGGAGAATTTGATATCTTTGGATTAGCAGACCAAAATCACATTTTTCTGGACAGTAAAAAGAGGCTCCACCCATGGAGGAAGATTCTCAGAGGGATATTTCCTATGTCTTTTGATAAACCAAAGGGATCAGGTTTTTCTTAGTGAGATAACTCCATCCACCTTCTAGGAATCTATGGTGACTTCTTACAGGACTGCAATTTATACAAAACCAGGGTAGGTCCTGCATAGGTTGAGAGAGTGCCTCATCCTGCTATCAGCTCCATGAAAGTAACTGAATGGTTGTACAAGGGACTAAAGAGTGAGCCAAATGACTGGAAGAAAAGCAGAGAAGAAAGCTTAGAATACACCTATGCAAATGATGGACTCAGATCTGGATCTGGGCAGATCACAGACAAATAATGCCTGCTTCATTCCTGGTTAAGATATCAGTGTTTCTTACTCTTCTCCTGTCTCCTGGGGAGCAGCTTAGGAGCACCCTTACAATTCTTAGCTATGATGGCAGTGTACAGTGCAGAGCTAGAACAAGAACACTGATTTTTTATTTTTTTTTTTTTTTCTAAATGGACTTTGATAAAAATGAATCTAGTAGTCCCAGCTCAGGTGCTAGGATTACAGAGGTCAACAGTGTGAACTCAGTGGATCCATCATTTTCCATCAGCTCATCAGTCAACTGCCTCTCAACACACTTATCCATTGTTAATAGATTCTTTGTAGGCATTGCAACTATGATATTTATTTTGCAGCCTGGCACAGATTAATAGTTCTCTGGCAACTCTGCTCCAAGGCTTTCAAAGTCTTCATGAAGGGCATCAGTAGGCAAGCCACACTCAGGAAAAGCTGTGATAACACAGTCCCTTTGCAAAGCCTTCAAAAGATTGGATGGGTCCCAGACCTACTCACAAATATAACCTGTGGGGGCAGGAGTGTGTACTGCCTCCTATGGATTCTGTTTGAAGATTTCATTGAGCTAGATTGCCTGATGCCTCATGAGCTGGGAAGTGGATAGCATTGCTTTCCACACTGAATGGGGGAACAATGAACAGGAGCTTACTGGAGTTGGTCTCTTTCTATGGGTATTTCCAGTGGTTGTGGAGAAGAGGAGATCACTTGCTTTATGTCATTTTCCAGACTCCTGTCTGTATCATTTGCTGGTTTCTTTAAGCATTCCTGTCAATATATCTTTCCTATCTACTATGTAAATTTTGTATTCCTTTTCCCTCAGAGGTGATTTTCTGTTGGAGAACGGCTTGCAGAGAGCAAGGCCATGGCTCCCTGCAGAAGCTGATTGCAGCCATCTGAGGTAAACAAAGGAAAAACCCAGGGGACAGTTATGCTAACAAAGGACTGTTATGTTAACAAAGAGAGAAACTGAGGTACATTATGACCTTGGGGGTGATAGTAAAACAGCCCTGGGAGAAAAACAGGTTCAGAAGAGGGAAGGTGTTTATGCATACCTGAAATACCACAAGGGGCTGAAATACCATAATGTAGCCTTTTACATGTATCCAATAGATTTGTGAGTAGTATGCATGATTATTGTAGAGTGCTTATATAAGGTGTGATTTCTTTCAATAAAGTTGAAGCTTGCTCTATCTTTCATATTGAATCGGCTGCTTGCTTCCTCCGCCTGCCGCAATTTTCCATATGGAAGTGTATGGGAAGGGTTAAAATCTTAAAGCTATTGAGCCTTTTTTGATTTGACATTGTTGAGTGAGCTGCAGAAAGCCCGCTTGTTCTTGAGCATGCTCCAGAGTAACTAGGAACAATGGAGCAAGGGAGAAACTGAGAAATCCAGTCCCAGTTCTGTGGTAATAGCAGAGATATTTATGAAACCAAGGTGCTCTTTCTGGACTTCAGGTTGGGTAGACACTATATTTGCTATCATGTTTGAGAGCTGTTTGTCTTGTGTTTGGTAACTACTGAGGTTTGTTTTCTGAATTTTTGGCAGTGAAAGAAATTCTTCTGTGGGCTGCAAGTGGAGAGTTTTGTGCAGGACCAAGTCAAGACAAAGACAAAATTCTTTTTCAGAGATACTCTATTCTATTTCAGAGGTTGGTCAGCTTAAGATAGTATGTTTTTTCCTGGGTTAAAGTGGTACAAGACAATGTTAGTGACTTTTTTTTTTTTTTTCATCAGAAGCTTACTTAGGCAGATTTCGGCTGTAATCTTTATTTTATTTAAAGTTTTTGCAACTGTTCAAAAAGGAGAAACCAAATGTGGTATCTGCAGACTGGTAAATAGAGTGCTTCATTAGTCTGAGACAAGTACAGAGACTGAAACAAAGGAGGTTTTAATCTTTTTCCTCTACTTATCTTACTTGATTATACTATCTCTGAGAAGATGAAAGAATTAAGAGAATTATTTACATCAAGGAATTGCTTAGTGTGTGCTCAGTTACTGAAGATAAAATCAAAGCAATTTGTCTGCCATCTCTTGTTATCGACAATGCAATTGGCAGCTCTGGTATCAGGCAGCTTACAATGTCCATCTCCTTACCTCTGTCTCTCCCAGTCATATGACTAACCTTGTACCATTAATCCTAGCATCTGCCAGAGGCTTGGGGCTTTGGTGAAACCAAGAATATCAGCCCTGGAGTGCAAAACAAACCAAGAGTATCAGCTTTGTTGGTTTGAGAAAGCAATATGAAATTATACCATCTTTTACTGCCATGGCAGTTTAGTTGTTGTTTGTTCTTTCAGCTTCTCATCTGGCAAACCTTTAAGATCCAAACAAGAACATATTAACTACAAAGCACTGTATGTCTAAGATTGCTGTTTGCTGTTCCTCAATGGGAATGAAATGCAATGAGAATGAGGTACCTCACCTGCATCAATGCTTCTAGCAATCCTGCTAGATAAATATCTAGTAAGTATCTATGTACTTCAGTGATAGAAAATCTGTCTTTCTGGGTTTCAATTTTTAATTGACCTTTAATAATCAGGATAGAAAGTGGCATGTTCTCAGGAAAAGCTATGACACTTTCTGGAAAAAGTTTAAGATTTGTGACTCCAACTGGCTGTTCTGCAAAATATAACATTGCTACCTTTATTTATTTGTTTGTTTGTTTGTTTAGAGTTTCTTAAGATGGAGGAAACCAAAAAGGTGCAAGAACTAAAGATGGAACAACTAATTAAAAGGGGGATTTTCAAAATCTGTCACAGTGTTTTCAGAATGTTTTTTCCCCGAAACCACTTTTTCTTGCTAGTTTAGGGTAACTTTGTAAGGATTCCTCAGAGAACTGGTATCAGGACAATATTGATAATGCATTTTGTCTGTGTTATAGTTCAGAAATCCACTGAAAAGCAGTATGTTATAAGGTACTGGGTAGATCTTGGATTTGCAATCATTTAGAGTCTGACCTGGTAATATTAATTCCAACACAGAAGTAAGACTGCTGAACGGTGGTAGGCTTTGGGTTTTTTTTGGTGGAGGGGATGGTTTGTGGGTTTCTAAAATGTATTTATATGTTTTCTGGCATATTATGAAATAAATTGTCCAAGAAAATACGGTACTTATTAGAAATCCAGGAATGTCTTTATAGGCTGGAATATTTGGGAAACTAGTAAGACCTTTTTGCTACGTATTCATTAGCATGGTTTTGTACATAGGCAGGTACCATGATCACAGTCAGACATGTTAGAAAAGGATGTGCTGCTCCCCTCAGTGATAAATCCAGAGTAAAGTTACCATAGGTCCCTAATAAACAATTTCCTAATGCAGCACTGAGAAGAGTTGAAGTTGTCTTGAGAAACAGTATTGTTATTTCTAGGAAATTGAGTGTGGCTGTAATTGGTAGTGAAAATCAGAATGAATACAAGAATTTTGAACAAAGAAACCTTACTTCCATACTAGGAAAGTGTAACAGAAGGAAATAATTTGTCACAGATTTTGTAAATCTGTAATTTGTAATTTGTAAACATGGTTGTGTCCCACCATGCAGTGGCTCACAGTCTCACTTTGTACTCAGAGACTCGGTGCTGCAGGCTCTTGCCCAGCCACCCTTCTCTATTAATGTGTGATCATAATGTAATTTTCATGTTCACTTTGAATTTACCCTTGCATTCCCTTCTCACGTGACCTGATTGAGCCAGTCTCATGTGTCAGTGTTTGGATTAAGTCCAAGGTTTCTGTGTAACAGGGAGGCAAGTTTTGTAGGGAGGTCTACTGTATTTTATTAGACCAGCTGATATAGTTGAAAAACTTTTGGACTCACAAATCCAGTATATCCTAGGGGGTATGTATATAGAAATGGTGTTATTCTATAGGAGGACAGACCTGCTTCTCCTTGGATGGGACTGCTCTGTCATGTTCACTGTGCAGGAGGTAGGACAGATGGTAAAATAAACCAGCCAGGACATGGGTGTGAGGAAGGTGTGGAGTCGGGAGAAGAGCCACTCATTCTCACCAACAGCTAATGCCTGCCAAAGTGCTATCCAAGTAATCAGAAATCTGCATCTGTTCCCACACTGACTGCTTCATGGAACAAATAATTGGCTAAACCTTCCTGACTATCCACCCTTGTCCCAGTTTCATGGAGGGAAGTAATGGATACAGATTTTTTGCAACTCATGGCATGCATCATTTATGATTACACAAATGTTGTTAACAGGTCCCTGGGACAAAGGAGAGACGATGCTAAAGACATTGTATTCTTTCTTGCTGTGTTGGCTGTCCCTGGAGCTTGAGGCTAATCCTGATTTTAAAATGAGGATTACTCAGAATGGGCTGGACTACGGTATTCTAACATTCCCATAAATCAATTTATGATAAATATGCACAGCATATAGAATACACACAGAATAATACATCTTAATAAAGATGCAATGTAGAAACAAGCTCTTTAAAAATTGAAACAGAATAAATTCATTTTGTCACTTCATACCAGGAACACCCTTTGTCTCTTCTGTAACTTATTTCCTTCCTTCTTGTGCACCCCAGGTATGAATTTATCCTTGAACTGGTGATTGCATTGTCCTACAGTCCAACAGCATTTCTACTACATTCCTTGTATCATCTACTTTCTTAGAACCAGAATGAGATGGTCATAAAATTGCTCCTTTTTTAAAAGTGTCAAAATCTGATTGAAAGTCAAATATTTAATTGAAGATAATAAGACATAATTGGGAAAAAAAACCTTACCATTTTGGAACAACCATATAGCTGCACATTCTCATTCCTCCACTTGATGTGGGATAGCAGCTGCATGTGCCATTCTTTTAAAAAAATCTAGTAACCGTCTGTCATAATTCTGCCCCTTAACAGAGTATCAGCAATTTCCAGAGTATATTTACTTTACTCTTTCTATTCATAAAGGTTAACAAGGCACAAATAAAACAAAGGCTGGGTTGTTCTAAGGATTAATTGTCATTCATGTATTGAACATGCTGACAAGTAAACAATGGACTTGTGAGATGTGGGTTTATGCCTTAGAGATGAAAGCAAGAATCAGGTCCACTTATTTCTCTGTATAAGCATTGTTTTAAAGTCTTTTGAGGAGTTGAGAAGTGTGGGGCAAATGTCAGTCATCCAAAGCAAAACTGATTTCCATATCTTTCTATGACATAGGAGAAGTTGCTCCCTAAGGTTCTCTGATGCCTTTAGAAATGAGACTTCAGCTGTCGGTCTCAGTCCAGTCGGGATCAGGGCAACGCGCAGAATAATGACAAACTGACACCAGTTGTAGCAGGAACCCCCTTATTTGCAGGACGAGGCTGTGAGACAAGACACACACCAATATGGTTAACAGTCAAGCTCCAATCTTTATTAGAAAAACAAGTCCTTATATATTCCTGTGACAGCAAATCCATGTGTTGCTCTGGCGCATGCTCATTCCTCTCGTTCCTCTCAGCACTTTCAACAAGCGCTACTCAGCCTCCACAACTGGTAGATAAATTTCTGCTTTGTTATTCTACAGATTCCTTTCTTATCTGTTTTTCCCTAATGAGTAAAAATACTTTCACTTTTAGCCATCGTTAATCTAGATGCCATTAGTCTTCTAACGCAAGTGCGTCATTAATTTAGACATTGTTAATCTTCTAACTTGAATGCTGATGACACTTTTACATTGTCAGTGACGCAGATGGTTTGCGACCCGGCATACACACCCACAATTCCCCCTTTTCTTTTTATTAAGGCCTCTATTCTCTTTACCACACAAGACAGCAATAATCTCACTATATATATTGTCTTGCAGTTAATAACACTGCATAGAGATAAATTGAGAGTGATCAGAAAGATTCACACAGTACATACCCTTAAATTCTTCACATCCATGTTCTGGTGCCAATAACAAAAATCTATAGTCGCTTTATTTTGTAGAACACCATGCCTTATACTATCTTCATTTGTCAAGAAATTACTTACTATATTAGATGCTGAGTTAAATTGTTTTACACTCCAACAGGCTATTTTGTTCAAGGTGGATAGGGCTTTTACAACCCCTACTCCTGGGGGCTAAGAGAGATGTAGTGACAATCTCTCCAGGCCCTCACAATGCCATTTTATTAAAGGATACACAGCAATTTATAGACTACCATAAAGTACATGTGCAGCTACTTGATTGTTCATAGGTTAAAGCTATTTGTCCATGAGCCCTTTTACCCTCTATGATTGGTCCCGGTGTGGTGTCTACGAGCTGCTCTCCTTCCAGGCAAACATCTTGTCTTCTACAGTCTAACTTCTTTATCTTTTTGCTACATGCGCAGTTTCTCAACCCTTTGGCCTTGCAGGTGTTCTTCACAACAGCTACAGCCTGTTGTTACAGTGAGGCCTCTCGGTTTGGATTGCTCATAATGTGTCTGTTGTTTTTCAGCCATTCTACACATAGTTTAACATCATTAAAAGGATTATAATGACAATTTAAACTGTTAGTCCATGTAAAAACAAATCTTTTAACCATCCAGTAATTGGTAACCTTTTAGTCGGATCATTATTATATACTCTTCCCTCTTCAAGATGTAAACCCATTGTGTAAGTATCACTACAAAACCAAATGTCATTTATCGGTACTGCTGAAGGAGTCACGTTTTGCCATCCGAGCCAGACCGTCTGATTATACCAACCATGTGTCAGATAGGCTTTTTATCCTCAAACTATACGCATCCCCAGGCCTGATTTTGCATGCTATTCCCAGCTACTGGGGGAAGAGAGCCTCTCAGTTTTAACTCCAATCGCACAGGTCTGGGATGGGTCGGCAGCAGTTGCTAAGCCCAGGCAAATTGCCTGCTGTCCTGATTGATTTTTTCTCTGCCACCTTGGCACAACTTAGCAGTTTCTCATCTATCCTACGAGGCCTGTTCTTCATCAAAGCTTAGCTGTTTGTCAGAGGCTGTGTAAGTCCGATGCCTCCGAGATCTCCCCTTCCTTGGTTTTGCATCGGCACATGCAAGACTTGTTTGAGAGCTGTAAGGGTTAGACAAACTTCAAAAACATAGTGTACTTGGAATAGTTCCACAGAAGGTTAAAACAATACAGCAGTTAAAATTACTAGTTAAAAGAGTAGGCTAATTTTACTACCTACAAATAAGGGATATAACTAAATACTACAAAATAAACAGTAAGGAAAACATGGAGTAGCACACTTACTTAATTGGGTACTAACATTCAGATCTGCAATCGCTGGGGAACCCTGGGTGCAGCGAGAATTTAGAGTGCCCTTCCTCACAAACTGGAAATCCTACACGATGCGTCCATCTGTAGGTGAGGCATCCAACATCTCTGCAAGCAGGTCCAGCCTCTAAATCAACAGGCCAAAATAACTGGCACTTTTTCTTGAGCGGGAACATCTGATTTTATCCTCCTGTTGGGTTCCACCCAGAGCCTGGCCAGCACTCCAGGGGGAAAACCAAGGGAATTTCAAATAAGGTTAAACATTTGAGCTTTTAATTCTTAATATTGCTAAACAAATAAAGTTGAATACACACATTCTTACAGCATTTCATCGTTATTAATAACTACATTCCATCTAAACTACATCTTGCACAAGTGACTAGTAAGCCTATATATTAAGAAGTTACAATTACTGTTAGCATTTTCTCTTAAAACAATTGACAACTGTAGTGTAGTTTGTTCTGTTGCAGTAGCAAACATTACTCAGACATTCTGCTTAAATGATCAGTCGAAGAGATCGCAAACTGTCCGCACAGGGGCACCCACAGCACCCACAGCTGGATCCTGAGTGCTGGCTGCCTCTCACGCCTCAGGTGTGGTTGCACACACCTTGCTGGTGACCACTGGAGACTGAGACCTGTGGAGACACAAGCATAACCTCTTCCCCAGGTTATTAAAAGATACGGTCCTTCTCAGTTACTACTTTTTAAGTTTTTGTTAACACTTGAGCCTTGCTCTGGACTTCTTGTTGATCTGGTGTCTGTGATGAGAAATGACATAATATTGGTGGCACCTGCGACACAGGGGAATGTTTAAAAGGTTCATGACATATAATGCCTTATTTAGCGCTTTGCGAGGTGTAGATTGATATTTTGCATCTTGCCCCTTTGTTGTTGTTGTTGTAATGGAAGCTTTAGCTAGCTAGATGTATGCTTCACAGTGGCCTGACCAGCCGGTGAATGGGGAATGCAGGTCAGATGCTTGACTCCCCACTGTATGACAGGATGCAAACAGTGCTCCAGGAAAGGTATTAACAGACACATGTACATATTGTAACATTTGAAATGCAGCTAAGTGAGTGACAGCAGATTGCTATAATTCTGAGGAGATGAGTCCCCAAGGGTCGACACCACTTCATTGCTGAAGAGATAGAGTCTTTCTGGTATTTAGGGGAAGTTGATAAAGAAAATTGGTTTTGTACTGACCTGGCACTCTGGTGGAAAAAATGCATGTGTTTTTCATCCATCTGAAACAGCAGAGGATATGGTTGACCTGGAGCCAAGACTTCTCCCCCTTTTTGTTTTTGCAAAAGCGCTTTCAAGTTCTGGTGTGTTCTTTCTATGATGGCTTGTCCCGTGGGGGAATGCAGTATACCTGTGATGCATGTCTGTTTGAGATGGTGTTAGCTATACGGTGAAGATCTTATTTTGCTTTCTCTGGAAGTACTTTGGGTGATGTTAGTGAAGGATCTTTTCATAAAATATCAAACAAGCTATGCAGAACATCATGAGTTAGGCCCACAATGACTGTATCCAATTTATGGTTCCCAACAGTTTCTGTAAATCTTTTAAAGTCTTGATAGCAGTTTTAAGTTGTTGCAGGACAATAGTCTGTTCACAAATTCTTCAGCTCAGGTACTGCCTGGTGATGATATCTGTAACTTTTGAAGTGGTATTTGCAACACCATTTGAGATAGTGAGTGTTTGCTTACAGGAAGAGCCTTTTCCATGATCTCCTGTGTCTTTGTTGCTATAAGGATGTTATCCATATAATGATATATAACAGCTTGGGGCACCTGGTGGGATTTTTATATGTTATGGTAAAATAACGCAGTGGTATTGTTTTGCAGGTTCACTAATATTAATAGTGGGAATAGAAAAAATATTTTTAGGTGCATCATTTGAATGCAAGAGAATGATAAAGAAATCAATCCTTTAGATCAAATTACTACAAGATGCCAGTTTTAGGTAATCATTGTTGGGGAGGGCATTCATGGTTGCAAGATATTTTTATCCTCCATGGTATCATTAATATGTTGGAGATCATGTAAAAGTCACTATTTACCACTTTTCTTTAAAATAATAAACTTAATTGTCCCTGAATGGAATCATTAAGGTGGCACGACTT